CTGATGTAGAGATGAATCACACTACAACTGCATTCAAAGTAGATGTTGATATATTCAGTGTCGTCTTTAGAGGTCAAAAGTATAATTCAGCCTATTAGATTTCAAAAAATATATTGAATTTTGAATATACAAATTCTTGAATGAGCTGACAGCGGAGTGTATGGAAGAATTAAGGGCAGAGCTTTGTCTTTTACAGTGATGAAGCAGCCATTATTACATTTCACAACTGTTGAGCAAAACCACAAGATGAAGAGAGAGAATCATACAGACGGACAGATGCATAGAGGAACGGACTGACAGATTAAACAATGGATTGACGGACAGACGGATGGACGGATGGAACAACGGATGGATGGAACGATAGAGATAGATGAAACAACAGGTCATGGTTGCATTTATGGACAGATGGATGGATGGATGGATGGATGGTTGCATGGATGGACGGATGAATGGAACAATAGATGGATGAGGGAGGGAGGGAGGGATGGATAGATGGATGGATGGATGAATGGAACAATAGATGGATGAGCGGATGGAGGTAGGTAGGGAGGGATGGATGGACGGATGGATGGATGGATGGAACAATAGATGGATGAGCGGAGGGAGGGAGGGACGGATGGATGGATGGACGGACGGACGGATAGATAGACAGAAATAGTCAGATGATAGATAGATAGATAGATAGATAATAGAGATAATGCCACACAGAGAATGTATCTACAATACCTTGATATCTCATAGAAAATGTGTCAAATGAAAAGTAAATGTATCTTGTTTTAATGACAATTAACAAGATATTATTACAGAAACTATACAAAGATGCTGGTTAAAAATACGAATATGCAACGTGAATGTAAGAACTTGTAATGGGCATAAGCATGCCTTCTGCAGAACTTCGTGTTAATATGAGATCAGTTTCCAGTTCATGTTTTCTCATTGCCTGAGGCAGCGGATTTGTTTGTTCTAAAAGATTTTGCTTCTAATGGATAACATTAACCAACAGAACAAACACCAGTACAGATCATCCATCATTTATCATGCAAACCGGAGCGTCACACCTGTATACGTGCTGTTATATAACACACCTGTGAATACAAAGAGGTGAAGGTTAGCAGGACAGCACACAAAGGCCATCTGCTGGGGTGAGGGTTATCAGAGGTGACAGACTCTGTGTGTGTGTGTGTGTGTGTGTGTGAGTGTGTGTGTTTCCTCAGTGAGGCAGGCTGATATGTAGCGGCAGCTCTTGTGTAAAATCACACAGCAGTTCAAAGGAACTAATCGAATCCAGCTCAATCAATACACTCGGAGGAATCACACACACACAAACACACTTGTATGCATGCAGATGCACACAAACTCTACAAGCTCTGTTCTACAAATTAATGCACTGACTACATAGACAGCTACCAAAGGTAGCTATATCTTTAGTTATCATCCTAAAAAACTGAAATGTGACTGATTTAGAATGCTCTAGGCATGAAAGAATTGACTTACAACTGGTAACAAATGTGATACTCGTAAGCATAAAAACAAAAACATTGGGTAAAACAGTCCCAATCAGGGTTATTATAGTAAACTAAAACTAAAACAAGTTAATTAAAACTAAAACCAAAAAAAAAATGTCATTACTTGAAATAAAATAAATGTTAAGTGAAATAAAGTTAAAAAAAATATATATATATATATATATATTTATTTAAAAAAAAGTTATTTAGTTTAACTAAATTAAAATAAGTCTCCAAATTTAAATAATAACAATAACACAAACCCAAAAAAATACTAAAAATGGCACAAACGCCTAATAAAAATTACTAATTTTATCTGAAACAAAAAGTATGAAAAAAAAACAATCAAAATATTAATTATATTAATTATTATTATTATATATTAATTCCATCCAGCATTTTTTCAATGTAAATGCTGCAATGCATTTTGGGAGTGCCTTTTCCATCAAGTCTACACAAACACATGATTCTTCTAGCTACACAAGCCCAATTTAATGCAATGTTTTATGAAATATGTCAATGCAATTCATAAGGCAACACAAATGTGCATTACATTTTCAAAGGAACGAACAGTGTTATACAGGATATAAACATAAACAGACTTCTTTACTTAGGTTAACTACAGACTGAAGAGAATCTTGCCAAGCAGATTAGTTAAAATTAGTTAAACTGTCGGCATGTTTATGGTTAGATTTATAGCTGTTAACAACAGAACAATGTGCATTGAAAACAACAATGAATGCACAGAACTTGAATGCCTAAAATGCTTTCTAGGTAGGTAGCTCAATACTTTTCTTGATTGTTTGGAACTAATTTCTCTCTAATGTTACTCACACATTTTATCAAGTGGGAACAGTCAATTGCACAATAGACTAGTATGTGACACAATTTGCCCTCCATTCTCTTCTCCCTGGTGTTTGTGTGTTGTAGGTGTGATTGAATTGAATTGCACAGAGATTTGCTTTTGCAGACGGTTAAAAGGAGAAATTTGATTGTGGTTTTAATTAACAAACATAACAAGCCTTTTCATTGGCTCTGAAGATTACAATTACGGCCCACAATGCAGCAGCATCCCTGCTGGTGATTCGGCCGTTTGCTCTCAAGACCCTACGGGAGTCTGTGACGGAGGACTGATCTAGGACCAGTTTAACTCAACTCTGTTTATTTGTTTATTTATCAACTCTCAACTCCACTGTTCCTGTGGTGTTTTCAGGTATAGCTGTAAAATCCAGCCTCAACTCTGGATAGCGACAACTGTTTCTCATCTACTGAAGTAGAGAAATGTTCATAGAATAAAAAAAAAAACCTCCTGATATTTATAAATGACTAACACTATTACCAATGTATTCACTTAAATAAATTAAATCATTTTTATGAAACAATTATTAGATGGAAAAACCTAGAAATGTTGCCTTAGCAATGAACTGAAATAACTGTACGTTTATGTACTGAAATAACTAAAATTAAATACAATTAAATGAACACTAAATATGAATATTTAAATAATAAATAAAAATGATAAAAGCACAAAATTATTTCGTATAATTTTGTGATTATACACTATAATACTATATACTATATTAGTGCATAAATAATTCTAAAATAACAGCTAACAGACGTGGGCAAAACTTTTGATTTCATATTTAAAAAATAAAACAATACTTTTTTTAGTTTACTTTTAAAAAAAATAAAATCTGCATTTTAAAAGAGTATTAGAGTAATTGCTTATTTTTCAGTTTTTTATATTGCCATTATTTAATTAATTTTATTTCTGATAAAAAAAAAATTATGATTGCAATTTAAAATGCAAAAAAAAAAAAGTAGTTTGTTTCTAGGTCTGAACAATTTGGCCAAAATTTTGTGATTATATGCATAACAAAATTACTAAAACTAAACTAAAATTGAAAACTGACTATTTGAAAATTAAAGCTAATTCAGAATATGAATAAATGCTATAATAGTATATAAATAACATCACAATTGGCAGACATGGCCTAAAAGCCAAGAAACCTGGGTCATAAAAATGTATAAATCAAAATTTTAAATGTAGTATAAAAAATAAAATAAGTTCACTTTGTATATATACAAAATGTGCATTTTAAAAGAGTATCTACCAATTGCATATTTGTTAATTTTTAAATTTAAAATTAATAAATTGATAATCCCGTAAATTTGTACATGGCACTTTTACTTCATAGCTTTTGTGCCATGCGATTAAACAATATTAGAGCACAAATATGGGCTTGTTTCGCTTTCAATATACATCAAACTATTAAGATTCTCCATTCAGACATTCAAACTATTTAGACATTAGACTATATAGCTCTCTAAAAGGTCTTTCACGTCAATTTCCTGTATAACCCAATCAGGAGAACTCTACAGCTCCACCTACCTGCGATCACACGTACTGCATCCCAGCATTAGCGGCATCCAGAGCGATTGATAATTCAGCCAAATAAACTAATCTGTTATCATCAGCATTTATTGTATTACAATGCCTGCCAGCTCAAGAGAAATAAATAACCGCTTAGCGCAGACATTTCATCAGCTTTGTGTTTTAAAACTACATATTAGCGTTAATGATACCCTCCGCGAGCTCACTCAAGTGCCGGCGCAATAACAACAACAGCAGCAACACTTAATCGCTCGTATGTTTTTAAATTGGAAGATTTCTGTTTTGGCCCCCACGGCTGATTCCTGGGGTGAGAGTGTAATATTTGTTTCCTCCGACACAGGCGGCAGCAACAAATGGCGGTACAAACCGCGCTTTATCAAAGGGTGCCGCCGCAGATGTGGAGGCTGTTCTTATCGCCATGCGGCACAGAGCGACCAGCCGGGAACGAGCCAACGAGGGCCGCAGTGTTTATCGAGAATAACACGGTGGTCCTGGGCGGCCGCTGAGGGTGGGACTGGGTGGATGTGAGGGGGCAGTTGAGCGGTAACCGTGGAGACAACCGCCGGAGCATAAGTCTCATGTTAACTAGGCCTTTCCGCCTCTCTATCTTATCAGCTCCGAGCCGCCGATGCTCGTCAGCGAGCGTAATTGAATAAAAGCCAGCCAGGCATCTGTATGCCTCTCTCTCTCTCTCTCCATTTGTACCATGCACTCTCTATCTATTGTCCATTTTTTTCTCCATCCTTGTTGCACGATCTCTCTTATCTTGCTCTGGGGGGGAGGGGGTAGATGGAGGGACGGGGTGATGGCTTAAGAAAATGGGACATGCTGATAAGAGCAGCGTCCGCCCGCTGCGCTGTAAAGACAGAGACAGTTGTGATTATCACATCCCTGTGATTAATATCTCATTATCTCCTTCTGATCCAACACTACTGCTGACTGTATTCACACACGGGCTGCAGGCACAAACCGCTGACGGATTCAATCATGCACATACAGTAGAGCACATATAGGATATTCAAGGCATACCATGCATGCGTACATTTAAAGAGACAGTTCAGTCAAGAATTGAAAACGTGTTATGGTTTACTCACCTTCATGTCGTTCCAAATACATATGAGCTCAAAAGGAGACGTTCTGATGAATGTTCACGCTGCTGTTTTCCATTTGATGAAAGTGGGTGATGGTGATTTGTGCTGAGAAATATCCCAAAACACATACCATACTTTAAATTAGGGCTGCAAGATTTGGGGAAAATAGAATTGCAAATTTTCTGATGAATTGTGATTTCAGTTTAAAATAGGAAAAAGAATATAATATTAACAATTTGGTTTTATGTTCTAACTGTAAATTTACAATACTAGTTATTATCTTTATTAAAAATAAAAATGTTATGAGACAAAATATGCAATGTTACTATTTTAATATTTAACTGTAAAAGAATAAAATTTAAGTATTTAAGACAATATAATAATTTTATTTTGCATTACAACTGTAAAATTGCAATATTTATTATTATTATTATTTTAAAATGTTCAAATAGAATATGCAATATTACTATTTTAATATTTCACTGTTTTAAAAAAAATGTTTTTTAAGTGTTTTAGACAATAACATTAATATTATTTTATTTTGCATTACAACTGTAAAATTACAATATTCATTATTATTATTATTATTATTATAAAAACAAGAATTTTAAAACAAATAATATAATATTAATATTTTATTGTGCTTTACAATGAACAGTTCACTACTAATTATTAATTTAGTTATTACAAAACTTAAAAAAATACTAAAAATAAAATAGGAAATATTTCTCTTGTAATATTTCACTGTAAAATAATAACATTTTAAAAAGTATTTAAGAAAATATAATTTAATTTTATATTAAAACTGTAAAATTACAGTAGTAATTATTTATGTCTTAATTTCTTTATCTTTATTTTGACAAAAAAAGCCCTTAAAGCTTCTCTTTGGTTAAGCGCTTGAGAAGATTGCTGGCATGTTGCGTTATATAAGTGACAGACAGACAGACATGTCTTTGCTCACCACCACTATGCATTTTGTGGCTAGTCTCCAAGGTGTTGCTTTTTACTGGCCCAAGTCAAAAGAGTCCACTCTCATACTGTATCTCCATTATAGTCTGGTCTTTTGTCATCTGCAAGGCAAAAAAGCACAAATCTGGTCACTTAATTAAGTAACAGCACATCTCTTCTGCACACCAAAGTTGATGTTAGGGGTTTGTTCAAATCTCTAATTCAGAGTATGAGCGCTAGCAAGGGTCAGATAAGGTAGAACGGATCTCATTCTATTTATTTGTCAATATGTTTATTTTTTGTTAATCTCTTTACATTTATTTGTGGATCATAATCTATTTATTTGGAATTAAGCAACAATTCTATCTCCATAAACAGCACCTGCACATGTTCAGTCTCTACATGTAATTTCTCTACACAAAGCAGTCCCTCATTTCAACTCCAGGGAAGCTTTCTCTTGTCATTAGCCTCCCTTTCGCTGTCAAATATGAATATACCAGTATAATTTACATACATGTAGCGTCTGCGTAGAATCATGCATGATCTTTGGGTTTTATGGCTTGAGACCCTTTTAGCTTTTGACATTTGCATATAAATTACAGTCCTGGTCACAGACTTTACACTTATATGGAAGTAATGGTAATATTGATTCTGCTACAGTTAATTCGAAGATCTAATCTAAATATTTATTATTAATCATAACCAGTTATAATTAGTCATAAATATTTCCATTTTGAGGAGAGCAGAGGTTGAAATCAAAGCTGCACAAGGCCATTCATATGAGTTATGAGGCACGTGTGACTCATTCATCAAGAGGAATATCAGCACTTATGAGCAGTGCACATCACCATCACAGGGATGAGATGACGCTGAAGACACATGGCATGAATGCAGAACACATATTAAATTTACAATATAGACAATATGTTTTTATCTGAAAAAGCTACTTAGAAATGAGCACATACACACACACACACAACACCTACAATAAAAATATATACAAATTTAAACAAATTTGAGGAAATAATAATAAAAGTATTATATATAAATATACTACATACAGTGGTGTGAAAAAGTGTTGGCCCCCTTCCTGATTTCTTATTTTTTTGCATGTTTGTCACACTTTAATGTTTCAGATCATCAAACAAATTTAAATATTAGTAAAAGATAACACAAGTGAACACAACATGCAGTTTTTAAATGAAGGTTTTTATTATTAAGGGAAAACAAAACCCAAAAATATAACAAAGAGTGAAAAATTTAAGGGGGTCTGAATACTTTCCCACACCACTCTATATATATATATATATATATATATAAATATAATACTACACACACACACACATATATATATATATATATATATAGTACTATATATAAGTAAAATAAATAAATAAACAAACATATGAGTCTTTACTTTGAATCAACATAATAATGTCTGACATATCACACTTAAAGAAGGATTTTTTTTTTTGCAGATTCAAGCTAAAAGAACCATATCCAGTCCAAGAGTTTCTAATATTTCCCTTTCCTAGCTGAATAACTGAAATTTAAATTAATGGGAACGTTAACAGAATTCACACTAACTAGCTTTCTGAAGGTGACATTTTACACTTGCAGTGTATTTAGTGATATTGTGATAGAATCTGTAACAGTCTCCCACGCATTGTTTCTCAGACCGTCAGACGTGTGTGTGTGTGTGTGCGCAGTGTTGAGGGTAATGCATTACAAGTAACGTGAGTTACGTAATCAGATTACTTTTTTCAAGTAACTAGTAAAGTAACGCATTACTTTTTAATTTACAATAAAATATCTGAGTTACTTTTTCAAATAAGTAACTCCAGTTACTTTGTTTTCCCATTCATTGACTGACAGCTCTCCTGTCCTCATGTTGAGAGAAATCAGGAGTAAGTGCAGAGGCGCTGTGTGAACATGATGATACTGTAGTTCTAGACTAAATGTGAACATGCATTTACTCATCTCACCTCCACAAAAACAGATTCAGTATTCTGCAAAATGAATAAAAACAGTGCAATGCAAACCTGCAATAATTAAATGTGTTAAATAACACAAATATCTTTTATGCATTTAATCACATTTTATTAATCAATATCTTTGGTCTATCGACCTTCAATGATCCAATTCAGCCATATTAATAAGCAAAAATGACTTAAAATAAACATGACATTTGTTTTTCTTTCTTTTTGTTTCATTGCTGAAGAGTGTTGAACTTTCTTCTCCTGCATTCTATGCTTCATGCAATACAGAATGGCTGAGGAGTATTCGTTTCACTTTTGGTGTGAAAGGGCCTTTACATTTGCCAAAAATATAAATTTTTATATTAAAAACAAATTAGCAAGCCCAGCCCAGATGAGAAAAATTTACGCAAAAGTAACGTAACGCATTACTTTCCATAAAAAGTAACTAAGTAACGCAATTAGTTACTTAGTTACTTTTTGTAACACAAAATTGTAATGCATTACTTTTAAAAGTAACTTTCCCCAACACTCTGTGTGTGTGTGTGTGTGTGTGTGTGTTTCAGAGGCCCTGGCGAGCGTGCGGGTGTAACGCTGTCACTGATGAGGTCACCCGGAGAGGGGAGGCGGGTTAATTGGGAGGTGCTTGGCAAATCTCAAAAGTCTTCAAGTGTTCAAAACGAGACAGAAATTATAAATATAGCTGTGAGCCGCTCCCAAACCACTCCGCTGCAGATGAAAGAGATTCACCTGCAAGACTGGATATTACAAAATGAGGTCATGATAGTAGATCGGGAACAGGACGATTATCTGGACTGAGAATGCTAGCCAGCACACGAGAGAGTGAAATAAATACACACCGGCATCGCCACACGCTACAACAGATAAGATGCTTTTCCACTGTTAAAAACAATGTTTTCTAAGCTGACATGACAGGCTTACAGAAGATGAACAGCAGTAATCCAGACTGGAGAGTGATGACAAATACGATCTCAAAGCAAACATCATAAACTGTGTTAATGGCACCATAATATTGCTTATTTCCTGTAGGAAATGCATGAATTTCCCATTTAAATGTTTTTAATTAAAATAATTAATTTAGTAAATTTATAGGATTATACTTTGATCCCAAACTATCAGACATGCACTAAAAGTTACACAACTTCAATAATAATTCAAATTATTTTATGAGTGCAATTTATAGGATCATTTAATTTATCTATCCATCTATCTATCTATCTATCTATTATCAGTACTGAGAAAGATAAGCAGAACATAAGTAACGTTTTGCAGAAAATAAATAATACAATTTTGGATAATTCTCATTCTTATAAACGAAACAAAACAAAAAGCAAAGCAAACAAAACAAAAAATAAACATTGTCACAAAAATGTGACAAAGAAATGAAACAAAAATGAAAGCAAAAGAACAAATACATTCATGCCATATCCTGCAATTTAAAAGAGGAACATTAATTTGAGATTTCCTAAAAGTGCTTTTATCTGTTGAGTACAAATCAATTCAGGCTGTCAAGACATACAGTCTCCACTAATGGGACTATTTCAAACAAATATAGACACACAACCCACGAACACACACACACACCCACACCTCACTCAAGGTTTTTCCCATTTCAGACAGTATTTGTTGAGTATCTGTTGCTGGTTTGGCACCCCAGTACATGTCCGCAGAAAATGGGAAACGCAAACATTTAGGAAAAGCCATGAATCAAAACAGCGTGCACTGCATACTAGGAACATTTTAAACCATGTTTCTTCAGCATGCACTATAGGAACATTGTTCAAATCAGGATTCTTTAGTGTGCACTTATATAAGAACATTCAAAGAATATTTAGTGCACACAGTATATACTAAAAACATTTAGCCAATGTCTGTTTAGTATGCAATGCATTATGGTAACATTTACACAACATTCAAAGAATGTTTGTTTAGTATGCAGTATAAACTAGAAACATTTGGCCAATATTCAAAGCATGTATGTTTAACATGCACTGCATGATTAGAACATTTACAGAACGTTGTCTAACATGCACTATATACTAATACCAGGAACATTTACCCAATGTTCAGATCAGGAATATTTACTATGCACTGCATGTTTGTAACGATTTGTAACGTTTGTTTACAGAACATTTAAAGTATGTTTGTTTAATATGCTCTATATACTAAAAACTTTAAATGTCTCATTAGTATACACTGAATGTTCCGTAAATGTTTCTAGCATGCAAAGAATGTTTTTAGCATGCAGTATATACTAGGAACATGTAGCCAATGTTCAAATCAGAATTAATTAGTATGCAATGCATTATAGGAACATTTATGGAACATTCAAGGAATGTGCACTGCAGTATATACTAACTAGAAACATTTAGGAAATGATCAGTGCATGTCTCTTTAGTATGCAATGCATGCTAGGAATATTTAGACAGAACATTCAAAGAGTGTTTAGCATGCACTATATATTAGAAATGTTTAGTCAATTTTCAATGCCTAATCTCTAATATGCACTGCATGCTAGGGACAATTACGGAACATTTAAAGAATGTTTGTTTGGCATGCATTATACACTAGGAAAATGTAGCCAATGTGCAAAGCATGTTTCTTTAGTATGCACAGCATGTTTGGAACATTTACACAGAACATTGAAAGAATATTTATTTCACATGCACTGCATACTAGAAACATTTAACCAATGTTCAAATCAGGATTGTTTAATATGCACTCTATAGCTACTATACATATTTACCCAATGTTCAAGGCATGTATTTTTAAGTATGCACTGCATGCTAGGAACATTTACAGACAACATTGAAAGAATGTTTGTTTAGCATGCACTTCATATTAGAATCATTTAAAAATAATTCAAAGCAAGTATTTTTACTATGCACTGTATTTTTGGAAGACAACGTTCAAAGAATATTTATTTAACATGCAGTACATACTATGAACATTTAGCCAATGTTCAACATGTCTTTTTAGTATGCACTGTATGCTATGAATGTTTCCAGAAAATTTAAAGAATGTTTGTTTAGCTTGCACTACAGTATGTCCAAGCAACATTTAGCCAATGTTCAAAACAGAATTCTTTATAAGCATTTCATTACAGGACCATTTACGAAACTTTC